CAATAATCTCACTATTGTAAACAATTGCTAATTCATAACAACTGAACTATACAACGTATGATTCGTAAACATTTACGAAAACAAACTTACCGTAAAATATCGCTCCCAAATATAACTAAATATGACACCCGCGCTTTATAAACTATCTAAAAAATGTTCGTTACAGTGTTGGTTACCACAGTGGTATCCAGAGCTTTAAACATTTATCTTTTTCGTCGAATTCCACACAGGCTGGTTCAGTTACTTTTGAACACAACTGACAAAATGAATTCTTCTTCTCTACTCTGTTATTATAATGCAATCTGTGATGATTTCACTTTAAAAATCGCCGCTGTACACTCTTTATCGCTAAACTCACGATCTCGCAGTCTAGAACTAGAACTGAATAATGATTTTTCTACGCGTATTTATACCACGACAAAAGTCTAGAATATTCTATGCAATACTAGATATTCTAATGCAATAATACTATACAACTGCTGTCAGGTTTTGTAAGGCCAGATTCTTTACAGTAAGTGTCTGTGATTTATTGGCGATACATTTCCACTATAAACAAATAGCTACACAGTCCGCTTGTTTTTTTTTAAAAAAAAAACATATTAAAAACAAATCAAACTTGTATACAAACCTTATGAGCTTGTGTTTCTTCTTTTTTATATATATAACCGAACAGTAAAACCAGTTTAACAATGACACGTTGGAGATTTTTAGGCAACAAAAATATTAACAATTGTAATTTCTGAGCTACTTGCTGGTGATATACTATGAAAGCGATGGACAGTTGAACGTGTTAGAAGAGCTTTACCGAGATTTAACAAAATACTGCCTACACCATATCCGGTATAATTATCATGTACATTGCAAATAGAGAGTCCAAAGTAGGTTGTTTGTTTGTTGTGATGCGCAAAACTACACAATTGGCTATCTGTGTTGTGCCCACTACGAGTATCAAAACTCTGTTTTTAGCAGTGTGAGCCCTCAGGTTTACCACTAAGCCACTTCCTCCCCGCCCAGTGAGTCAGTGATAATTATACGAAACTACACGCTAAAATGTGGAGTTAGATTCCACGCGGTGGACATCACGCAACTAGCCGTTGACTGGACTTTAGATTCCTCCTTAATCTTTTCGTTGGTAAAAGAGTAGCCCAAGAGTTGGCGGTGGGTGGTGATGACTAGTTGCTTTCTCTTTAGTTTTTCATTGCTAAATTAGGGACGGCTAGCGCAGACAGCCCTCGTATAGCTTTACGCGAATTTCAAAAACAAACAAACAAACCTCCCTAATCTTTATAAACTTATATTTGCTCTCGGTAAATACTGCTAATGGGCAAGTCGTATAAACCATTTGCTACTTTCACATTTATACAAGAAACATATTTATCAGCAGATATTTGCATAAAGAGAAATGTATACACTGTGACATTCAAAAAAGGTTTCTATGCTGTTATCGAAGATTCGAAAGATTGCACTTAACTACAGGATAACTTTGCATAAATGAATATATGGTTTTCTACTTGTTAAAGCGCTAGTCAACTGGATGACGTAACAAAACCACTTGAATGCTGCGCATATGTTTTTTGAGCGCTAAAAGTGAGCAGCCTAACGCTGCCAGTCTAAATAGTATCTGATCTTCACTTGACTAAAAACTTTTTTGGCTTCTGAATCATTCTTCCACACGCACACGCACATACATATAAATAAATCAGTAATTCTAAAGTTATCAAATATATTAATTGTAAATAGGTGAACTTTTAATCAGCACTATAAAACAATAATGATGAAATTAATATAAATCAAAAACATTACAAAGAGACTCAAAAAAATCAAAATTAATTTTTCCATTACCAGTCCTTGTTGTCGTCATTAAAACTCATAATGGATAATGTCTGTGGCCGTAGCACTCAAACGCTTTGGGGATATTCCATCTATCAGACAAGATCCAAACGCTGACGTCAAACTAACCAGCAACTGAGGAAAATCAGTTGAGGGTAAGTTAAGTGGTTGAACCCATAACGTCTCAACTCCTACTGCCTTTCGCTGTCTGTAGTGAGTTGTGGGAAGGCAGTTACCCTTAATATTTATTTACAAACTTAAAGTAGAAATAAACCATCCTAAGTTTCTACAATGTAAAAATTCCCAACCCCCACCCTTTTTCTGAGGTGAACAAAATGGCAAAAATATTTTCACAGTGGAAACAGACCACTCTATATTTCTACAAGACTCCAAACCTCCATATTTTGGTCCACCTAATTTTGGCGGTTAACGTGCCAGGAGAGTGTATACGAGGGTTCACAATTATTGTCCCGATTTTACAAAAACGGGGCCGTCGTTGCGCTATAAGAGCAACGGTGAAATCCCATTATTTAGTCACAATAAAGTACCTCAGTCCCAAATCATGGACGGCTACGTGCAGACAGCCCTTTTGCTCGAAAATTTCCAAACAAAACCATCTAGTTTCAAACCGTTTTAAACTGCACAGGGACAACCTATTTCACAAAATCTTAATTTCAACAGCAGTTTTAAATATACTTTTTTTTGTAAATATCGTCCAATCAATTTGTATATTTAATAGTTCGGACAGCACATGTCAGATGAAGTTTTTATACTAATTTTTTTAAATCTTCAAAACTGCAGATAGATCAAATTTGTGTACACATACATAACCAATCAACAGGTACATTAAGATTTTCTGTTTCGATAAAAATGGTGGAATACCGTGTTAACGTAACATTTATCATAGTGTTACGACAGCGGAAGTCACGTGACGCTGGTAACACGTCATGAGTTTCTAGAAGGTTCGGGGAACATCACGAATATCCCAGTGTTTGCTAGACGCCCTCTATTTTTAGTATATAAGCCCGGCAAATAAAACGGAGAGAAAAAAGTGACGGCATAGATAATTGCAGACGGGGAGATATGCGTGAATCTTTGTGAATTATAGCGTGTGTTTAAGTTAAAGTGACTGTGGAAATTAAGTGTATTGAGAAAGAATAAACTAGTTTTATTTAAGAAAGGACTTGTATCGTATCGCTGAAGTTCCTCGGGAAGAATTTATACAGGAAATTAACAAACGACCAGAGACGTAACAATATCTTAGATTTCTTCAGTTGAACTTATTATGCAATGGCAGCGCTTGAGATAAGCAGACTAAGCAACTGCTTAGAGCTCCTAGCAGCTCAAAAGGCCCCCAATTTACGGCGTTTTTGTTTGTTTTTTAAATCAAGAATTTGACTGTTGCTTGTTTTGGTATTGTACTCATTTGAAAAATAAAATTATTTCAACGAAAGCAATCCCAAAACACATCACTTAGAAACGATGGACGTTTGAAAATTGCACCACCAATAAACGTTTGAGGCAGGCGCACGTGCTATGTATGGTGTGCTGATTGGTTGCTAAGTGCAGTAAACACGTAGTATGCGTTATGGCGCATTCATGTTAGTGTGTGAGTATGATTTAACAAGTGTATTACTATGTGTTGTGTTGGTGCATTTTTAATTTGTGGAAATACTACAATTAGTATCTTTTGGGGGCGGGTAAGGGCTCCTAAACTATTCCTGCTTAGAGCCCCCAATGGGCTAGCACCACCCGTGCTATTATGAAATGTACTGTAAAAATGTAGACCAAACAAACTACTAGTAATAAATACTTATTCACTGTTATAAACACGGAAGCGTTTGGCCTTTAAAAAACAAAAATAGTCCTTAAGTTCCGATGTAAAAATATAATTTGTATATCTGAACTCATGCAGTTTAAATCTTCACACGTCATGTGATTTAAGCCGAAGGCTTATTTGTGTGTTGAATTATCGCGCAGATCTACTCGAGGGCTATCTGCTGCTAGCCGTACCTAATTTTGAAACGATAAACTAGAAGTAAGGCAAGGCAGCTAATCAACACCACCCATCCCCAACTCTTGGGCTAATCTTTTTGCCAACGATTTACCGTCGCATTATAACGCAACCTGCAGACTGGGAGTCGATCGTCCTAACTACCACGCAAACTGAAGACAACGAAGATTATTAAAAGAATAAATTCGATCTTACTATGACTAAAACTTAAGACTAACATATATATTGTTACGACAGCGGAAGTCACGTGACGCTGGTAAAACTTGATGAGATTCTAGAAGGATCGGGGAACCTCACGAACGTCTCAGCGTTTGCTAGACGCCCTCTATTTTAGTATATAAGCCGGAAGATAAATTGATAACGGGATAATCGAGTCAAGCCGTAAGTAAAGTGTGTAAATCATTGTGAATTATAGCGTGTGTTTAAGTTAAAGTGACTGTGGAAATTCTGTGTATTGCAAAGTTGTATTGAGGAAGAATAAAGTAGTTTTATTTAAGAAAGGACTTGTATCGCTGAAGTTCCTCGGGAAGAATTTTTACGGGAAATTAACAAACGACCAGAGACGTAACAATATAATGCCTTCGAGATAAATAATGTTCATTTTAAACTCGCCTTTAGTATTAATCTATTTAATACTTAAATATTTTTAAATTAGCAAACCCACTGATTATTTAACGGTGAACTCACGAGATGAAATAAGTTTTTAAAAATACCAACACTTGTGGTGGCAACTCAGATAAATTGACATTACAGTACTGTTCGACCAAAAAAATTACTTACACTTGTGGTAGTGTCTCAAAGAAATTGATATTATAGTACTGTTTGACTAAAAAATTACTTACACCAAGTGTAAGTAATTTTTTTAGTCGAACAGTACTGTAATATCAATTTATCTGAGTTGCCACCACAAAGTACTGTAATATCAATTTATCTGAGTTGCCACCAGTTCGACTAAAAAAATTACTTACACTTGTGGTGGCAACTCAGATAAATTGACATTACGGTACTGTTCGACTAAGAAAATTACTTACATGTGTGGTGGCAACTCAAAAAATTGACATTACGGTACTGTTCGACTAAGAAAATTACTTACATGTGTGGTGGCAACTCAAAGAAATTGACATTACGGTACTGTTCGACTAAGAAAATTACTTACATGTGTGGTGGCAACTCAAAGAAATTGACATTACGGTACTGTTCGATGAATTCCTTCCTGTAAATCCCTAAGTCTCTGTAAGGATTTACTGAAACCAACACTGATCCAATGTAAGTCTGCGAAAAAAACAAAAACAACAAAAAACGTATTCATAAAATAATCAATCGATATATGTGTCAAACATACTTTAAGTCTCTAATTTAATAATAAAGCATTTTCACTGTCATTTATTAGATTATATGGGCCGAATGCGCCCCAGTGGTTAGCATGTCGAAATTTGATCTGAATATTTGTGGTTCGTGTCCCGTTCCCGCCAAGAAATCATATTCTGCACTTTGTGTCTTGCTTGTTTCTTTTGTTGTGTTTTTTTAAAGCAAAACCACAATGGGCTATCTTCTTTCGAACCCCGGATTTTAGCGATTCAAGTCCGAGAACTTACCGCTGTCCCATCGGGGGATACACTTTGGGGCCGTGAATGCGTTATAAGAGAATCCGTCAAATTCCATTATTCAATTAGAATAGCCCAAGAGTTTGTGGTGAATGGTATTGACTAGCGACCTCCCCTCTAGTCTATCCCTTCAAAATTAGGGACGGCTAGTGCAGACGGCCCTCGAGTACCTTTATGCGAAGTTCAACAACAGCAGAATATTTTACATTTATTCATTTCTGGCACGTGTTTTTGAGTCTCTGTTCAAACCAAAGATTTCATTCACAACATATGAAAAAAAGGGACGAAAATAAACAGAGGAGGTTCTATAAAACTGGTGTATTCAATAATAGACAGGGGAATCAATCTTCCTAGTCTTCAACAAGCATATGTTGTTTAAGGAAAATACAACGTCATTTATTAAAGGTGAAAATTGGCGTTTTTTTGTTTTTTTTTAACTTTACGTGAAAAATTGAAATAAATAGCACTTTTTATTAAATAAATTTCAACTACGGTTTTTTATGTATATATAAAAAGGTGTGAAAATCGACTGTAAATACATTTCGTGTGAATGTTTTCATTCCGTGGTGGAGCTTTGCCCGCTGACGGGGGGGGGGGGGGGCAACTGTCTAGGGGCCCGGGCTAATGAAACTTGGTTATGCCGTAAAGCCCGCAAAGCATCTTTAGGCTATATCTTCATTTGATGATAAAAAACATAGTTTTTGGCTTTTCTTTGCATATATACGCTTGATACATTAAGAACGACTGAAATAATAATTTGAGTAATAATTGATATGTATTTGTTACTTATAGATTTAATAAATATTTGTTGTTACTTTATTAACGTTTTTACGCCTATACTGTGAGGTAAAAATGGCTGCTGCTATGATTTTGTCTGGTTTATGAGTTCGTCGGATCTTCTTTTTACTAAATTCTTGAAAATGTTAAAAAAAGAGAGAGAGAAAGGGGCCCGAGGATGTTTGCCCCGGGTCCCGTGCTGGCTCTCGACGTTCCTGTATATATATATGCACGCCCCTGGGAACCATGGGATTAATCACATATTACGCTTTTAAATCGTATAAGAAAGGCAGTTCTTCATTTGAACATGTTGTTATTCTTGATGCTGCTGTTTTAAATATTTTATATCAGCTGTCGCCTGAAGGTTTGGCTACGACAATGGTATCTGTGAAAATAACGTAAAATATATGAATAAGAAACCGTATATTTTATGATTGTATGTCTGAATATATGTACACAGATTCACAGCTATATTTGTAAATTTAGTGTGGTATTTTCGACCCTTATATTTGTTGTTACACGCCTTTAACGAATATGCTAAAATAGTTAGAACATTAACTTATATTTCAACATAGTACTTTTATAAAGTAAACCGTTTTACGGTCTCGGACAGAAGGACGAGTCATGAAAGCCATAACTTAACGAAACGAATTATTGGCTTTCCTTGAGATACTTGTTTGTTTATTCTCGTCTCTTTTGCTGACTAAGGAAAAGTAAACGATTAAATAATCAGCATTTTTTTTTTACCATGGCGGCAACAACTTAGGTTGTTTTTTCAGTAATGTTTGGCTAATAAAAAATATTCTATGTTTGAAATTTCGGAATTGAATAATATGGTATATTCAACTTTAACGTCTTCTTTCGGGATTATGGGCTAAACGATGAGGTCAGAAAACCCAAGATTCGGGCATAGCTGTCCTTAATTTAGAACTGCTAGCCAAAAAGGAAGCGAGAACAACAGAAAACAGCATCCGCCGCTTACACAGCTACCATTAACTGAATAGCTGAATTCACTGCCAGATTTAATTACAAAAACCCACGGCAGAAAGTGTGGTGCGTTTTCATCGGCATGTCCATATTTTCTAAGGACCTGTTTTGCAGCATGTGGAGGCTGAAGCGTTTAAATTACTGAAATAAAACCTGAACGTCATTATATCTATATACCAAGATTAACATACAACTAATTCTTATTTTCAAACTAATATCACACTTGTGATTCATACATGAACAGCGTCATTATTCAATTGAAGAAGTGCAGTTGAATAAACATTTTGTCAGAAACTAAACACCCTTAAATACTTTTTATATTTTACAGAAAGATCGATATTAATTCTCATGGTCTAAGTCAGGCCTCTGGTGATTGTTTATTTGTAATTAAGCACAAAGCTACCAATGGGCTATTTGTGCTCTTCCCACCACGAATTTCTAGCGTTGTAAGTCCGCAGACATGATGCTGTGCCACTGGGGGGGGGGGGGGGGGGGTATTTGTTCTAAAAACTAATCTTACTTACTGTAAAAGCTGTAAATTGTAGTAAAGCTCATTGTTGAAATAATTCACTGTTACCTGTAGTAAACACTTTTGTTTTGTTAAGATCCTCAGTGTTTATCACGCATACTTCTATCTTACATTTTATATCAGGACGTGGCCGTTTTATTAAGATTCTCACAGCAAATCAGTGCTGTTACAAAGACGCCCAATATGGTATTCCTATGATAAACTAAACACGTAGTTACTTCGCAATAACAGGAAATTCGTATTGAATGACAAGCGTAGTAAATTATTATTAGTGGAATGAAAATGGCTAAAATACGTTGTGAAGTTGAACAAAAAGAAACATTATATTTTTGTAGAAGCATAAGATGGATACACGGTTGATCAATTAGTTGTAGGGTTAGTGTGTTGTTGTATATTACAGTGAAAAATAAAATGGACAGTATTCAATGTTTGAAATGAGGGGGTATGACATACCTCCACTTTTTGAAATCAAGCCTATCATACTGTTACGTATCTGCTTGTTTGTTAATTTCCG